ATCGAATAAAAAACCTGTAAAGAACTACTACTGTATGTCTGATATTTCATGTTTGCATCATGGTGACAGGCTGAAAGCTGCTGTTGTTTTTTAAAGAACATTTATAGTTAATAAAAGTCTACTGGTGTTATACCTTCAGTCATTTTCAGAATCAGAAAGCGCTTTATTGCCAAGTATGCAAGGAATTTACATACAAGGAATTTGTTTTAGTGGCACAAGCTTCCAATACACAGAGACAATAAAAAATAAGCTGAGAATAAAAAAAATAAAATACACATGTAAATATAAATATTATTTATTAATATTAAAGCAAATATTAATATAAACAAATATTGAAAAATAAATCGAAAAATAAATAAATTGTATGTACAGTTGTGCTATAGATGATAGAATGGAATAGAATAGAATGAGATGCAGGGATGTACTAGGATGGAGGTGGTAACAAATAAATATAAAGGTTATTGCACATTTTTATTGCATAATGTGGGGAACATTTAACTGTTCATGAGGTAGATTGACTGGGGGAAGAAACTGTTCTTGTGCCTGGCTGTCCTGGTATTTGCGGCTCTGAAGCGCCGACCAGATGGCAAACGTTCAAAAAGGGGATAACTTGGATGTGAGGGATCCAGAGTGATTTTCTGAGCCCTTTTCCTCACTCTGGATGTATACAGTTCTTGAAGTGTGGGCAGGGGAGCACCAATAATCCTTTCAGCAGTCCGAACCGTTCTCTGTAGTCTTCTGATGTTTGATTTTGTAGCTTTTGAGATTTTCTAAAATAATTTTCCTGGTATTATTTCTGAACACATAATATGTATAAGACAAGTTTGTACAATATGTAGTTGTAGTTTTTGCATCTTTTCTGCAAAGATATTTAACAAGTGATTTGTTTAACATTTACATCATGTTGACAACTTCATGTGTGCTGCACTTGGAATAGAATTTTCTTTAACTAGAAGGTTAATAAAGAAAAAGTAACTTGAATCATGTTGTAGTCACATTTTCAAGTTGACTAGTTAAAAATCGTAAAAAAACGAGAATCGGTCAAACATTCTGGAAAAAATTGAGATTTAAATTTTTTGCTAAATAGCCCAGCCCTAACCACCACATACCCAAGTAAACAGGCAGAAATGCCCAGAACCTTCCAAGACTTCCAGAGTCTTCCACTCCACCCAAAACTTTGAAGGAATGTTGCCTGAAGACAATGTCCATTTTTTACACGTCAAGCTATGTTGGTTATTGGTCGAAATAGGGCATCTGTTATTGACCAATATTGCATATTTATCATTGGATACTGGATATTTAATTGTTTTCTACATTTAAACAGTAATCTTGGCTAATAGGGTGATTCAGGTCAAAGGTCAACATGAATTGATTCAAAAAATATGTTATACAACAAAGTTAAGCTTTTGCTGTGAATGATTTTTTTTTTACAATATTAGAGTAGCAACCATCAGAGCTGATCTGTTCATAACACTGTGCTGTAGAAGAATATAGTGGGCAAAATATACGAGTGGTACATTGTGCCATATTGGATTTCATGGAGGGTCTTTAAGCTTTGGAAGCCAGCAGTGGTACAGTGGGGAGATCAAAAGAACTACTGCCCTGTGACGGACTGACGGTCCATCGGAGGCAGCTAGGTATGTGTGTGTTCCAAGACTCCAAAATCAGGTCAGAATCTATCAAATATGGACCACCCACAAAACAAAAGAGCTAGCGAGAAAAAGAAAAACCAGACTGGAGACAGAGTCTGAAGCGCAACACAAACCGACACAAGTTCCCACTAACTGTCTATGCAAGCCAGCAGAGTTTGATGGGTTATGACAGTTCATGTGTAGTTTTAGTGAACTCCTACTTTAAATAAACTGCCTTTGGATTGACCGAAACCACTTTTGTATAGACTTCAGCAAGTCTGACCAAAACAAACACAATGGGTCTTGGATCAGTCACCAATGGTTAAATTAAGAGCACATGTAACATTACTCTCAGTCAAAATCTTTGCTTATTCTCTTTCCCCCCCCAAGAGTCTATGTGGCCAATGCTAATAATAGTGCATAAACTATTATTTCACATTTCTTTCTCTCTCTATCTCTTGCTTTATTTTTTAGCAAGATAACTGCGGTTTCACAGAACTGTAGAGCGCATGCTGATTTGTTTATTTTTAGGATGAACGCTTACATTAGTTGCTAAAGATTGAGGGAACATAGCCAGATAAAGTAGGACGGTGGGAGACAATTAGCAACATGAGAAACAAGGGGAAAAAGAGAGAAATAAAGAGGTTTAAGAAGGTAATGGATATCACTTTATCTTCCAAAATATGCAATAAAAATTAAAACTGCTGGTTGTTTTGTTGCCACAAACCCCTGTTTGAATACTCCTAAATGTCACATCAAGATACATCTCAAACACCAAACCTAATTATACAACTATACATATAACTAATCTGACATGTCATCTTGGTTTACAGATAAAACCGATGCCCAAAAATGGGGATACGTGAAATAAGATACAATCTGTGCCATCTGAACCAGAATATGTTGACGTGTTTGATGTTATCAAGCTTCTTCTTATTCTTACCTCCCTTAGTGAACACTAGATATATGAAATTGTGAACTGAAATGACATGAAATTGAACTCTCTAGCCCTGGAGGCGGCAATTTGGAGTTGTTGTCTTGCTTCATTGCTTTTTGCAGAATCTCTGCCAAATAAAACCCACACGTTTCTAGTTGAGATGTATGTGAGAGAGGGAGAATGACATACTCATATATGTGTGCCTGAACATGCCTTTAAAAATCCAACCCCTGCACTCGGCCAGTCTATTGTTGAACCACCGAACAACTTCCCTTCCTTCCTTGACTAAAGAAAACAGGTACACCTCCTTTGTGTTAGCATATGTGTGTGAGAGAGAGAAAGAGAGAGCTCTCGCACAAGAATATTACATGACTTTTCTGGACAGTTTCTTTGGACAACTGTTTGAAATGAAAAACAGCTCATTTGCATTTGTGACACATGCAAATCAAACATTTGCACAATCCCATAATGTAAGATTATGATGCAGTTTACAGTCTAATAGCTCACTGCAGAACATCAAGATCAAGCATTAGACTCTCAAATAAGATTAGAACTATTATCTGAAAGCCATACATCAGGTCAGAAACGCATGGAAACAAAGTTAAGGCCAAATATCCTCATCAAAATTCAGAATGGGAATCATAGAACTTTGCCAGAAATCATGTCAGATTTCAGCATAACTCAAATCAGAAATAAATGTAATAAAATTCTTTCAAAAGGTTTGTTTACATAGACCATTTAGAGGTGCCATAAATGCAACCCAATAACTGACCCTATACATTAAATAAAAACACTAAACAAACGTGGTGACATTTCATTTTTCAAACTACCACTAATTAGCCTGCAATAAAACTCAATGTACATCTTTAACTACTGTCATAAGAACAACCAGTAATTAACTAACACTCTCACAAGTACTTACCATAACACAGTAACTTTTCTTGCTTTTCTTCAGACACGACGAAAGTAATTGTTCAGCAAGTCAGATTAAATCAATAACCACTCCGGTTGATTCAGAATCACTAGAAAGAACCAGCTCATAAGAGTCATTCTGGAATCGGACTACAAAGTGGCGCTCTTATGATGTTGATTCGCTACAAAGAACCGAGTCATGAAAATCATTTGTTCAGGAATACGACTCCACAGTGGCGCTGAATGTTTTTGATTCACTAAAAAGAACCAGCTCGCAAGAGACTTTCATTTGGCAAACCAGACTATTGGCCGGGTGTGTGTAAAGGGGTCATATGATGTTGGTAAAAAGAACATTATTTTGTGTATTTGGTGTAATGAAATGTGTTTATGCGGTTTAAGGTTCAAAAAACATTATTTTCCACAT